CCAGTGACAGGCCTGGTTGGTCTCTGCACAGGGAAGCTGTCCATTTTGTGGAGTTATTGGCACCTGGCTGGTCCTGCGGACAGAGGGCTGGCCCGTGTTTGACTGCTAAGGGAAGGATGATGGCTCTTTGCTTGAAAAGATCATCTTTATCACATTAGCACACTTTCCTTTTGTTTCTAAGAGGTATTATCAGAAATAACACCTTGGGTTTTGGCAAAGGCGTTTTCAGCATGTAGAGAATTGACTGCCCTTTTTCTCTCTGACTTCTGGTAGGATGAATGTTGTCAGTCAGCTTTCTAATGCTGAACCATCCTTGCATTCCCAAAACAACCTCACTTGGTCATGGGAAAATTCCTTGTATGTGCTTTTAGATTGGATTTGGTCATGTTTTATTCTGGAATCATTTCATCTTACCACTTATAACTGAAATTAATCCCCAATGGTTTTCTTTGAATCTAGCTCTTTTGGGTTTTGATCTCTGGTTCCTAAGTGAATTGTCTAACTACCTTTTCGATAATGACAATGCTCAACATTTTTTCCTTTGCTTGATTTTCAGCTAATAGTACTGGACCCCCCGGTGAGTAGTTGGGTGCCCTCTGGCCCATGGCTCACCCCCTGGGGTGCAGCTGCCATGGCGCAGGGATGCCAGTGTCCTCCTTGGCCTCTTGTAGAGTCTCTGTGCACTTAGACAGCACTGGACAAGCCCCACCTAGCATTGCCAGCATTCATGTGTCATGCTTAGGCTTGGGCTGTCAGTTCCTTCCTGCTCACAAGGCTTGGACCTTTTCTCCCATCCACAGGTGGAAGAAAGTGAGAACGAGTGGTCTGTTCCACACTGTTTCACCATCTACGCAGCTCAGAAAACCATCGTGGTGGCAGCCAGGTAAGGGTTTTCCACGTCGCCATCCTGAGCAGCCCTGGATGGTGGGGTGGGGACTTCCTTCCCATGAGCCTCCGAGTCCTCTGAGAGGTCATGGAGCCTCATGGTGCCCCCTTTGACTCTGAGCTCTGTTTCCAAGTTATGCAACCAAGGAGTAGCCTCGCCCTTGTAGGGAAGGGCTGCTTGCTGACCCAGAGAACCCCTGCAAGTGTAGGCCCCAGTGCTGTGAAGCTGCTCCCTCTGCCCTCCAGTTCACAGTGCCTCCAAAGACAGGGTGGGTGAGTGGGCAGGTTCCTGTGGTGTCCCAGGGCATACGCGCTTCCCAACCCTCAAGTCAAGTGCCAGCAGCTAGTGGTCAAAAGCCCAGCAGGGGGGCCACACCCAGCCCAGGAGAACCCTGCCCCCCAGTTCCAGTGAGGTACAGACTTGCATGAGACAGAAGCAAGTGCAAACAGCTCCCTCCTCGCCAAATCAGAGCAATTGCACTCTAGCCTGGGTAACAAGAGCAAAACTACATCTCAAAAAAAAAAAAAAAAAAAAATGACACTGAGCTCATCTGGTGGCCAGGAAGCAGGGAACCCTGCGTGGTCACCAGCACTGCACTGTGCTCTGCGAGGAGTCTCAGCTGTGACTCTGCAGTGCCCTGGCCAGCATCAGAGAGCACAGGGCACTCAGCTCCCACCAGGAAATGTCCACTTAGTGAACCGGGGCCCATCTTGCGTGTCAGCGTCAGAGATGTAGAGGACATTGTTTCAGGAACACAGGCCTCTGCAGACACCGTTCCAGCACCGGGGCCCTGCCCTGCCTCCCAGCCCTGTCACAGCACCCTGGGGTCAGGCAGAGGCAAGGCCCTCTCAGTTCTCCTCCCTGCTGTTCCTGCTGGAGGGGACACATTTCCCACAGTCCTCTCCACCTGAGTGGGGCAGAGCAGAAAGTGGGAGAACAGGTGCCCTGATGGCTCACCCTCCCGAGGGCTGGGGCCCCACACCAAGGAGAGCAGAGCCACTGAGCCTCGCCCTCCTCCCTGCAGCACTCGGCTAGAGAAGGAGAAGTGGATGCTGGACCTGAACGCCGCCATCCAAGCAGCCAAGAGTGGCAGTGACACAGCCCCTGCACTGCCAGGCAGCACCGTGTACACTCGTCCCCCCAGTGAGTGCTGGCCATGACCTCCCAGGAGACCCCTCTACACCTAAAGAGGCTTTTTATGGAAATTGTTTTCCTTCGTCACTATTGGCCTGCTAAGCTCCCACACAAGCCCCTTCCTTCCACAAGGAACGTTCCAGGCTACGCCTCATGTCCAGGCGGGAGGAGGGGTTAATCGGGCTGCTGGGGCAGAAGCATGTGTGTGTGGTCTTGTTCTCTGCCAGCCGCTGGTCTAGCATCAAGGGCTCCCCATTTCCCAGAGCAACCCTAGAGGAGCTCAAGGGGTAGAAACATCTGGTAAGCAAAGGCTGCAGGGGGGTCCCCCGTGTTAGACACTGCTGACTTCTCCCCAGGATCCCCAAACGAGGCATCTCTGGAGCAGGAGTCAGAAGAGGACGCTCGGGGTGCCCGCAGCTTCCTGGAGGGGCAAGGCCAGCACCGGGCCAACACCACAGTGCACGTGTGCTGGTACCGGAACACCAGCGTGTCCAGGGCGGACCACAGTGCAGCTGTCGAGGTACAACCTTGTGAGCACCCCTCAGTGCATCTGGAAGCTTCCTGGCTTCTCTACACTTGGCTGCTGAGGAGGGGGCCTCAGGAGGGGACTGGTAGGCAGGGTTGGCCCCAGAGAGCTGCCTCCTACTCTCCCCTTGGTAGAAGTTGGTATGGAAAGTCCCTCGTCCACTCAAATCCTGTTTGAAAAGAGCGTTTCAGGTCTGACGAAGTCCAGCAGGCAGGGTGTGTCCTTGGGGCCTGGAGCTGGTATGTGGTGGAGCCGAGAAAAGCCCTCCCAAACACATCCCCCACGGCAGCCCTCCCGGTGCCTCCGAAACCATTCACCTCGGGCTTGAGTCAAGGTCTTGGCCAGAGAAATCCTGCAGGTGGTTAGTCTTGGGGAGCAAACCCACTCCCACAAGGCCCCAGGCAGATGGGGCTGCGGGTCCTGGTTAACGCACCTGTGCTTTTCCTTTATCGACAGAACCAGCTTTCAGGATATCTGCTAAGAAAGTTCAAAAACAGTCATGGCTGGCAGAAGCTCTGGGTCGTCTTTACCAACTTCTGTCTGTTCTTCTACAAAACTCACCAGGTACCAGGCAGGGTTTCAGTGGAGCCGGATGCAGGTGACGCTGGTGGATACTCACCCTGCTCAGCTGTGGCCCTTTTGCATTTGGGTTCTGTCCTCCCATGCTTTGCCCACACACCCCATGCCGTGGGAACAGGGAAGCTGGCTCCCTCGGCATCTGTACGTGCCACCACGGCGCAATTAGCAGAGGAATGGGCCCTCCCTGCTGCACAACCAAGCCTCTGGAACCCACATCCCTGTGCTTCTTCCAGGATGACTACCCACTGGCCAGCCTCCCGCTGCTGGGCTACAGTGTGAGTGTCCCCAGGGAGGCCGATGGCATACACAAAGACTATGTTTTCAAGCTCCAGTTCAAATCCCACGTCTACTTCTTCCGGGCTGAGAGCAAGTACACATTTGAAAGGTAATTTTGCAGGAGGTGGCCCTGGTCAGCTAGCCAGGCCTGACTGGGGCCCCAAGGAACATGGGTGTCTCCTCAGCTCCCCCATTTGTACTCATCATGGTGTTGGAAGCAAACCTTCCAGATCCGAGAAAGGAAGGCCTGGGCAGGGCCTCCAGATTTTCCTTCTCTGTAGCCCAGGCTGGAGTGCAGTGGCACAATCTCGGTCCACTGCAACCTGCGCCTCCAGGGTTCAAGCGATTCTCCTGCCTCAGCCTCCCGGGTAGCCGAGATTACACGCATATGCCACCACACCCAGCTAATTTTTGTATTTTTAGTAGAGACAGGGTTTCACCATGTTGGCCAGGCTGGTCTCAAACTCCTGACCTCAAGTGATCCTCCCGCCTTGGCCTCCTAAAGTGTTAGGATTACAGGCAGAAGCCACCATGCCTGCCCCAGGTTTTTAACCCTTCTTTTGTTCTGCCTGCCCCATACCCTGGGTTGTTCTTGGGACAGTGTCTGCACACAGCACACTCACTGCTCTGATGGATGCCCTCTCTCCAGGTGGATGGAGGTGATTGAGGGGGCCAGCAGTTCGACCGGGAGCATCGTGCAGGGCAGCCCCCGAACCTCCTCAGGGATGGAGGGGACGGTCAGGGAGAAGAAGGAATGACAAGGTGCCAGGGTTTGCACACAACTACCAAGAACGGAAGGACACAGAGGCGGCCACTGTCCTGAGGCTTCTTGACAGATGGGAAAGGGCTATGGGGGCTGGCACTGGATTCCCACTGGCACTGACAGTGTGGGTGGGCCTTGTGTGATGGCATCTTGGAGGGGCTTCATTGCCCCTCAAGCCCTAGCGCATGCCAGCAGCTATCTGGGGCCCTGGGAAAGCTCAGTGCTACTCAAGCCCCAGGCCCCTGGCTCAGACACAGACAGGGCGTGAGCACCGCTCTGGGCACACCCTGCCCTCTCTCCCCCAAGCAGGGTGCCTGCTGAGGACTGGCCTAGAGCAAGCACTGGAAAGCAGACCCTGCGTGTGCCCTGCACACCCACTGCCAGGACCCTCTCAGAGAAGCGTGGCACAGCCGTGCTGACCTTCCCTCTGGTGAACCAACTGGCAGCCCCAGGGGCCTGGCCTGCAGGTCACAGCTACACAAGAGTCTGGCAGAAGCCACGCCTGTTCCCCACGTAACCTCTGGAGAAGCAGAAGCCAAAGTCCCCCTGTGCCCTGGGAGGGTGGGGTCCTCTAATTTATTACTGCCCAGCATTCCTTCTGGTGGGAAGTAAATGGGCGACCGCTTTGTTCACACGTCTGACGATTAAAAACACCTGCCCCCACCTGCACACTCCTCTGCTCGCTCTGTTCTCCTTCCAGTGTCAGCAAAACCCAGGAATCAGTCACAGGGAAGTTCCGAGGGGGGACTGGGCTGCAGTCCCCGCGTGCTGTGATGAGGACTCGGGACCAGGGACGCAGCAGCCCCGCATGGCCTGGGCCCCGCCACACACCTGCATGTCTCCAAGTCAGGTCTTTATTGAAAGTGGCAGGGGCCTCTCAGTGTTCTATGAAAACTAACATATTAACCTCAGAATATTAAGGAAACAAGTAAATTCCATTTTCTTAAAAAACAAAACAACATTCTGGATGACACAAGTACTTATGAGCAGACACGGTACCTGATCCAACACCACAGGGCAAATCTGTGGCCATGATGGGCCCCAGGAGGACAGTGGCCAGGGCACTCCTCTGGGCTGCCCCGTTGCCTCTCCCCACCTCACGGGAGGAGGAGGCAGAGCTGCCCTGATAGTTGCTCTGCTCCTTGGTCTGAGCAGCCATGGGGCTGTGAGAGTCTGCAGAAGAGCCAGGCGTAACTCACGAGGGCCTTGCCGGCTGCTGGAGCCCCTGTGGACTCTACTGCTGGGCCAGGAGCGGAAGCGGGGCAGTGGGCACGTGGAGCAGCATCCCCTGACGTGCAGGACAGCACAGTGCAGGGGTAGGAGACGGTGACCTGGCAGGTGAGGCCCACAGGATCTGATGTGTCCCTGCAGGCACGACACAGCATGGGGCACCTTCCAAGTCAGCACAGTTATTACGGAGCTCAGAACAAAACAAAGGACCTTCTGTCCCCTCTCTGAACAGCAGTGTGCTTCAGCGGGTAGATGTCAGGTGGTTTCTGTTGTGTGAAAACCTGCAGAGAGAGAGCCCACCGCTGTGCGTCTACCTCTGTGCCCAGGCTCCTGAAGGCCTCTTGGGTGTGCAGTCTGCAGTGGCAGCCCTGACAAGCCACTGCACAGGGTCTCAGGAGCAGCACTGACTGGCCCAGACCCACCCTGAGAGCTGCTGCCCAGGGGTGCCAGGAAGGGGTCACTGTGTGTGGGCCAGGACTTGGTGCATCTGCCAGCGGCGCGGTGGCTGGACCCTAAGCCCAGTGGGCGGTGGGGGACCCAGTATCTGTCCTGCCCTGTCCCTTGCTGACTCGAGCCAGCACAGGGGCAGCTCTGATGTTTCGCTACTAGCGTGTCAGAGCAGCTCCTGGGAGCCACCAGGTGGAGAGGCAGAGGCCAGCCGAGGACGGCCGTGTGGCCACTGAGGCCAGGTCCCTGAGACACTAAGACCGGAAAGGCCCTTCCCACTGTGGCCAGCCCCAAAGGCTCCCAGCCCTGAGAGCTGCGTCCAAACAAGAAAGAGGATGCCACGCCACCCTTTCCCAGAGAGAAGTGGACCCACACAGTGCCAAATGCAGCCACGCCCACAAGTGACTGCTGGACCTCCCCCCACATCCAGCTGCTTCTTGGTGGGGACGCTCTCCCGACCCCAGGGCAGGGCCGCCCTCACCTCTGCACTCGCTCCACCAGGTGCACCATCAGCTTGTCCGAGATGCCGGGGCAGGACTCCTCGGCCAGGCTGAAGGCGTTCTCTAGCTCCTCCAGCGCGCCCACGCTCCCGCCGCTCTGCTTGTGCTTCTCTTTGAGCTGTGGAGAGACCAGGCATGCCTGACCGAGGACCCCAGGACAGCCCGCCTCTTTGCTGGGCCAGAGTTGTGCTAGAGGCCTTCAGGGCCTTCGCCTAACACCCACATCCAGGAGCCCTTCAGCAAGCCAGGAAGGCGGCCCAAGGACGCCTCTGCCCCCACCCTGCCAATGGGAACCCTACTGGTCCTTCCCCACACCCCCTACCCTCCGTCTGCACTCCAGGGAGTTTCAGGCCTCGGTTGTCAGGAGGAGACCAGATGGCTTCCTCCCCGCTGAGGGTCATGGAAGCCACTGAATGGGTCCAATCAGACCCAAAAAAACATGAAGCCCAGAAACTCCCAGAGCTCACTGCATGACCAGGCCACTGACACACACCCCAGATCTGACCGCCATCAGGACACCAGCCCCTGTCACCGGGTATCGCCCACCCTCTGGGAACTGTGACTAGATCCGTAGGCTGCCCAGGACCTGGGCCTGAGTGGCTGCTTCCCGCTGACCTGGGGCCAATGTCCCTGGACTATGCTGCACCCTCTGCCATCCTCAGGCAGGCTCTGCTGTCACCACCTCTCACCAACATCCTTCATCCTCCCTCCCAGGCTCCAATGGGGCTCCTGGAGGGCACACCTGCGCCCAAGCCCACTGGCCAAGCCGTGGGCAGAGATCCTGGCTGCATCACATTTCTGGGGATAGTGCTGACTGCCCATGAGGAGGTGACGTGGATGTAGCGTCACATGACTAAGCAGGGAGGTCCTGCCCTGTGACGGACCCCAACTACACCTTCTCCACTTTCTCTATAGAAGAGTCAACTGCGTTTGCACTCAAAGAAGATAAGTCACCCTGGGAACCCAGAGAACACGGGCAGGCCCGGGAGCACAAAAGGAGTCACCGCAGCAGATTCTGCTCCTTCCACCCAGAAAACCCAGCCCATAATCAGCTGCAGGAAACCTAGAAACTGAAACTTCCCCATGACACCATGAGGAGACAACTTCATGGAACAGTGTCACAGCCTTGTCCCTGGTGGAACCCCAAGCCCAGCCCCAGCCCCATCCTCACCTCTCCGAAGACGGGCCTGACCAGCGTGGACAGGCACTGGGACCTTGGCTGCCTCTTGACGGGCTCCACGGGCTGCAGAGGTGAAGCCCAGGGTGAGCAGGGCAGTGCGGGCAGCAGGCAGGGCACTCCCACCCCTGCCCAGGCTCTGGCCTTAAAGGGACAGAGGCTGGGAGCAGCCTGTCAGGCACACGCCCAGGACTGGCTCCAAAACATCAAGCAACCCAGATGGCCTGAGTCCAGGCTCCTGTGACTCCCATCCTCCCCTCACAAATCTGGCTCCAAATAAGTCCCTCATCTTCCTAGCACATGCACATGGGGCAGAGGCCAGGCCAGGGACAGACCTTCTGTGAGCCGTGCAGGGCCGTCCCCTTGTGAAGCTTGCTGTGTGGACTTGGCCGGATGGTGGGGGGGAATGTCCAGATCGGGCCCTGCTCCCCGTCCTCCGCCTCGCCATCACTGAAGAGGATGAGGAGTTACCAGGGCCAGTGGGGAGAGGGCAGGAGGCACGAGAGCCTCAGGGCACACCTCATGGCACCTGGTGGGGCTTTGCCAGGCCATGGCGTCCAGCAGATGCCACAGCAGGCCCTGTCGCACAGCCTGAGGGGGTCCCTGCCCCACACCACACCTGGCCACCCACAACCCCAGCACCCACACCTGCTCTGGAGTGGGGACCACCCCCGTCAAAGCACCTAGGGTCACCATGAGGACAAACCAGGCCCCTACATGTCCGAGTCCTCAGAGCTGGACTCTTCGCCATGCCCCTCAGACTTCCAGCGCTTGTAGCGGTCGATGAGCTCCGTGAGGAAGGAGGTCTTCTTGGTGTAGCGTGTGATGAACTTGTGCTTCAGGAGCTCCTTGGCCGTGGGCCGCTGTGGGGGGTCAGAACACAGGTCACCAGGCCAGCCAGGCTCTGCCTCAGGGAAGCGAACATGAGGCAGCCTGGACCGGAGCGGGTCCTCACAGCTATGAGGCTGCGGTGCTGAGGCCTCCGGGCTGTGCTGCCCTCACTGAGCAGACACCCTCCCTCCTCCATGTGGAGGGCCAAAGGCGGGCCTTACGAATCGGGGGTCCTTGTTGAGGCAGGCCTCCACGAACTCCTTGAAGGGCTTGCTGTGCTGGCCCTCCAGGGTGGGTGGGCTGTTCTTGGGAATCAGGAACAGGACGCGCATGGGGTGGAGGTCAGAGTTTGGAGGCTCCCCCTTGGCCAGCTCAATGGCCGTGATCCCCAGGGACCAGATGTCGGCCTGGAGAGAACACAAGGACTGTCACTGCCCTGAGCACCTGAGCCAGGTGCACCGGAGCCCGCACCTGCCCGCCCGCCCACTGCACCCACCTTGAAGTCGTAGGCGGACTGCTTGATGACCTCAGGCGCCATCCAGAAGGGGGTGCCCACAAACGTGTTCCTCTTGATCTGCGTGTCTGTGAGCTGCCCGGCCACCCCAAAGTCTGCCAGCTTCACATCCCCCTGCTCTGAGAGCAGCACGTTGGCAGCTGCTTGACACAGGACAGGCAGGTGTCACCCCAGGCTCCACATGGCTCCACCCAGGGTCCCCTGAGAAGGGCCAGGGTACCATCCACCTGGCCTCCCAGGGTGCAGAAAAGCTGTCCTCAGGACCTCAGCCCCCCTTGCCACTCTCAAACCCAGGGCCACCTAGGGCCACTGGGGCAGTGCCAAGCAGGAGGCCCAGGGCTCCCACTCTGAGCTCCAGGGCTCTGCCTGCATTTGGCCTTTACAACAAATCCCAACAACAGAGCTACTTCACCCATTGGGGGCCAGTGCAGAGGTGACCCTGACCCAGGGTGTGGACAACACAGGCCTGCCAGGAAGCCCCTCGCTCCACCAGACTCGTCCCCTACATGGCAGATGGCTCGGTGCCAGTGGTAAGTCCCTCCCCATGGGCTGGCCCAGCCTCTCGTCTGCACTCAGCAGGGCCAGACCACATGCCAAGGCTACTCAGTCTACACCTGCCATTATACCATGGGCCACAGGCGGGAAGCAACAACTCCATCTAAGTGTGGCCCCTTCCTATACTGGGTGCACAGCTGGTTTCCTCAGCGTACTGGGAAACCGTTACGAGCAGCATCTTCTGGAAATGGAGCAAGACAGCACTGCTCAGTTTCAGGGGGGCCACAGGGTTCTCTATATCCCAGACCCCGGCACCACCAGCCACCTGCCCCTCACAGGCCCCAGCCTCTGAGGTCAGCGGGGCCCAGGACAATACAAGAGCCACATCCACCCCAGCAGGACCTTTAATGTCTCGGTGGATCTTGCGCTCAGAGTGCAGATAATCCAGACCCTTCAGAATCTCCCGCAGGATCGTGGCAATGTACGTCTCCTCCAGGGGGCCTGGTTTCAGCTGGAGAGAAGGTGGGACAGCAGGCCTCAGCTCCCACCCCAGGCTCCTCTGACGGGGGAGGGCTGTCCCTGCAGAGCTGGGGGCTTCATGTTCCTTTACCTCTCAAACAGAACTAAGTCTCAGATGGGAGTGGGGTAGTGGAGGCTCATTCTAAAGCATATAAGCCAGCTTCACCTTACTGTCGTGTAGCAGAAAAACAGGGTCCCAGCCATCTCCCAGCGTGCTGTCCCCACCCACTGCCACAGGCCAGGACCCCTTTCAGCACCAACTGGGCAGATGTGCGGCTGGCAGTTCATTTTTGCTTTAGACGATTCCTAACTAACACCTAACTCAGCATGACACGAGACAGGTGGCCCCTGGAGCCCATGAGTCTGAGGGGCAGGGGACTCGGGCACTGCATGACCCCCCACAACCATGGCCTCACCAAGTCCAGCGCAGAGCCGCCACCCAGGTACTCCATGATGATCCACAGCTTGGTGCTCTGGGACCGGAGACAAGCCCATCAGCATTTGGCAGCAGGAGGAAGGGCAGACTCCGGGGTAGGAGTCACAGGCCAGAGTCAGCCAGGGCCCAGGCCCCGCCGGTCTCACCCTTGCCAGGAACCCTAACCAGGAAAGGGCTCCCTCGGCCTTGCCCATCTCCCCTCTTGCCACACCCCTGTACAGATACTAGGAGGACCGATCGAATCCACTTCACCAAGACCCTGTTGAAAACGAGGCTGCTGACCGAGTGCTGCAGGGCTGGGAAGAAGGAATGCCTGGCAGACACAAGGCCGATATACCCACCATCCTGGGCAGGATGGGCACAGCGTTCACTACACCCCAGACCCTGGGCACCACCCATCACTTGCCCCTCACAGGCCCACTTACCACTGCTGGCAGGGGCCCCCCAGAGTACTCCTAGGAGCACCCTCATGCCACTCCCACAGGCAGGCAAGTGGGCCCCAATGGTCATTCAGAGCCGACTTACCCTCCTGGACCCTGCTCATACCCCACCTGCCCTGGGGCAATTTCCTGGAGGGTGTGCACTGTCATGGCTGCGTTGCGCCCTCCCCCACTAGCCCACCCTGGCATGTCACTCCGTCCCTCTGACATGGAAGAGGGTCAGGCACAGCACCAGCAGGGCCCCCGCCTCCCACAGGCACCTTCAGGTAGGAGCCGAAGTAGCGGGTGATGTAGGGGCTGTCGCACTGGCTGAGCACGGTGATCTCCTGCTGGATGTCCTCAATCTCATCCTCCGCCTCCTCCAAGTCGATGATCTTGATGGCCACCACCTCCTTGGTGTGGTTATCGATGCCCTTGTAGACCTCCCCAAACGAACCCTTGCCAATGCGGTCGAGCTTGGTGAAGAGCTCCTCCGGATCCACTCGAGAGTGCTGTGGGCCAGTGGGGAGAGGGCAGACAGTGCCGGTCACAAGAGGCAGGCGGGGGACAGGCAGAGGCTGCCCTGATGGGGAGGGACCTGTAAGGAAGGCGGAGCCCGAGAGAGCGCACCTCAATTCTTCTCTGCTTTCTTCTTTTATCCCTTTTGTTTGAAACCTGAACAACTTCCATGCAAGGGAAAAAGTCCCCAGAAAGTATAAGGAGGCCAGGCCAACTCAATGAACCCTGCCGGAAACCAGGAGCCTTAGGTGATGACAGGCCTCATCTAACCCTACCGGCTAATGGCAGGCCAGCCCCGTGAGAGATCTTAATAGGCTAATGGCCCCATGGGATGAGGGTGGATTTGGAAACTTAATTTGCTATAAATCTGAAACTACTAAAAAAATAGACTCATCAGGGCCAGGCACAGTGGCTCATGTCTGTAATCCCAACACTTTGGGAAGGCCAGGTGGGCAGATCACCTGAGGTCAAAAGTTTGAGACCAGCCTGGCCAATATGGTGAAAACCCGTCGCTACTAAAAATAAAAAAAAAAAATTGGCCAGGTGTGGTGGTGCAGGCCTGTAATCCCAGCTACTCAGGAGGCTGAGGCAGAATTGCTTGAACCCGGGAGGCAGAGGTTGCAGTGAGCACAGATGGCGCCACTGTACTCCAGCCTAGGTGACAGATGGCGACTCCATCTCAAAAAAAAAAAAACATCAGGCCAGGCGCATCGGTGCACACCTGAAATCCCAGCACTTTGGGAGGCCGAGGTGGGTGGATCACCTGAGGTCAGGAGTTTGCAACCAGCCTAACACGATAAAACCTCGACTCTAATAAACACAAAAAAATGTAGGCGTGGTGGTGCAGGCCTGTAATCCCAGCTACTCAGGAGGCCGACACAGGAGAATCACTTGTACCTAGGACGCACCACCCTGAGCAACAAGAGCAAAATTCCATCTCAAAAAAAAATAAAAAAATAAACGAACTCATCAAAAACCTCAGACCTCGGTATGTGTTAACCAAGTTCTCCTTCACTCCTGAAAGCCACAGACTTAGAAAGGGCCTCCTCACTCCCAAATCAGTCTCCCGACAGCTACACCGGCACAGAGTTAGAAACTGGTGTGCCTCACAGTCCTCAGATCTAAAGAAGCAAAGCCTGAAAGTTTCTGAGTCGCTGGTGTGGAAAGTGCCTGGTCTGTGGCCCAGAGTCCAGGGGAAGCCAGCAGAGGTATGTCCTCAGGCCTCCACCCACATTTTTTTTTTTAGATGGGAGTCTCACTCTGTCACCCAGGATGGAGTGCAGTGGTGCGATCTTGGCTCACTGCAACCTCCGCCTCCTGGGTTCAAGTGATTCTCCTGCCTCAGCCTCGTGAGTAGCTGGAATTACAGGCGTGCGCCACCATGCTCAGCTAATTTTTTGTATTTTTAGTAGAGAGAAGGTTTCACCATGTTGGCCAGGCTGGTCTTGAACTCTTGGCCTCGGGTGATCTGCCCACCTTGGCCTCCCAAAGTACTGGGATTACAGGCATGAACCACCATGCCCAACCCCTCCCCTATGACAGGGTCTTGATGCCAATTTAGTGTAGCAAAGCATAAAAAGGCAGAGTGACTATGCCACAAAAACACTGAGGCCCAACTCATTCTGCTGCTGACACACGACAGGTCCTTGGGTTGGGGGTGCCCTCCACGTTCCTGGGGAGACCATGCCCTCCAAGAAGGATGGGGTGCACCACAAACAGCCCTCACACTCATCCTCTGGACACCTGTGTGCTGGGGCTGCCCCCGGCCCAAGTCCAGCAGAGCACTTGGATGAGGCCGACTGGACATTGTGCCAGCCTGAGGCGACATTTCCATGTGAAACTGCCAATTAGCTGCCCTCCCAAGGTTTGTAACCAGGAGGGTGGAAGAGGCGGCACACAGGCCCCCATCTTGAAACATGCTGCTACATATCCCTTTCTTAGTGCCTGCCAGACCCCGAGGTGACAGAACTCTGGAGAAGAAAAGGCGGCTGCAGAAGGGCCAGAGGCCACCTAACCCTTCCCCACAAGGCTGGCTTGTTAGCACGTGGCCTGCATGCAGCAGCCAGAGCAGCCAGATGCAGTGTCCACACAGACCCTGGCTCAGCCCAAACATCTGACCAGTTGAGACAGTTGGTCCAGTCAAAAGTGACCTCTCTCACTCCCTCATCAGTACCACCAGCCCAGTCCTAAAGCCAGTACCCATGGAGGTGACAGCAGGGGTGCCTTGAGCCCACTGCTACCAGGAGTCCCCGAAGCCAAGGTCAAGAAACTCGGCCGGATAGAGAGAGCTGACTTTTGCCTGGGGTCCCTCCGGTCGTGCTGGCCCAGGTGAGTTGTGTCCCCAGCCCCACCACTGCTGCTGACGTGTTCTAAAGAGAAGCCAGGAAAAATTCACTCCAGCGTGGCTGACAAGTCCCGGGTGCTCAGCTGTCTCCAGGTTGGGGGTGGGCAGCACAGATCAAATCAGAATCAGCACCTATCTGAAAGGAAAGTCAACCGAGGACATGCCATCTTTTTTTCTTTTTGGGGGATGGGGGTCTTGCTGTGTTGCCCAGGCAGGTCTCCTTGGCCTCCAGAGTAGCTGAGACCACAGGTGCATGTCAAAGCGTAAGCTCATCCGCCCAAAGGCCGTCGCACGTAAGCGGTCAGTGTGAAAACATCGCCCGCTTGCCATAGAGAGTGCCATCTCCATTTCTGGTGGAGGCCCAGTCTTGGATGCCAGGTGCAGGACCAAGTTAAGAAGCAGCCCCTTTTCTCTTTGTTTTTTCTTTTGAGACAGAGTTTCACTCTGTTGCCCAGGCTGGAAGGCAGTGGCGCAATCTCAGCTCGCTGCAACCTCCATCTCCCGCATTCAAGTAACTCTCCCACCTCAACCTCCCGAGTAGCTGGGATTACAGGCACCCACCATTATGCCCACCTAATTCTTTTTTTTTATTTTTGTAGAGACGGGGTTTCACCATGTTGGCCAGGCTGGTCTCAAACTCCTGACCTCAGGTGATCCAGAGCAGCAGCCCCCCTTCTGCCTGCTCCTCCCCCGCAGGCCCAAAGGGGCCTCAAATCCTCCTTGTTTGCTCAGCCCATCAGCACTTACTGGGGCCCAGGGACACAGCTCCACTAAACCCATTAGCCTACAGGCCCGGCCTCAGGAGGCCACATTCTCCTGATCTGCTCTGCTTCCTGCTGAGGCCATGTTGCTCCCCACACAGGGCCTGGAGCTGAGTCTGCTCCCCCACAGCAGCCCAAGAAAGGAAAGCCCTGGGTGGGCACTCAGAACCTCTAGTGCTTCAGAGCAGGAGAGCACAGTAGACCCCTAAGCCAGAGCCAGGGCTCATCAGCCCAAGCAGAAACTGTGTGATAGGAACCCTCTTGGCTGTGATCCTGGTCCTGCAAAGACATCCCAGGGGGGAATGGGACCCTGCCACGGAGGCTGAGAACCCTCTTCTGGATATAACAGCTGTGGTCTGGATGACTCAGGCCACTCAGCTGACTCTGACGGTGGACACCTGTTCTTCACATCAGCCCTGCGCTGCCAGGTGTGCGGCCTCCACTTGCCCGTGTGTCTGCTGTTAGTGTTGCCCCACAAACAAGAGGAGTGGCCCAGCACACGCACCAGAGACATCCCCAGATGCCACCTGAGAGGCAGTAGCCGAGCGACCATACAGTGCTCTGGCACCCCACAGCCATTCGGGCCCTCCAGGGCCAGGCAGGAACTGGCTAGGCAGAGGCAAGAAGCCTAAGGCAGAAGCACAGGCTGCAGGGGGAATGTACCTCACTCTCCCATGAAGGGGCTGCCCCACAGGGCTCAGGACACCATGGCAACCATCTCAGGAGAAAACCACAGCCCCTCAGGTTTCCTGCCACTATCTGAAGTCAAGTCTCTCATTCCAGCCTAGGACAGAGGGACCCCTAAAAGGACAAAAGGTGTTTCCTACCTCTAGAGTCCCTTCTCCAGTGTGCCTGCACTCCCTCCCCTGGGTCTGATCACACCAACGACCAACAGGGTACCTCAGAGCTCCAATTTCTCATCCCAGGACCCAGGGGAGCCATTTCCGCAGTTCTTAAACCGGTGGCTGGGCATGGTGGCTCACGCCTGTAATCCCAGCACTTTGGGAGGCCAAGGTGAGAACACTTGAGGTGAGGAGTTCGAGACAAGCCTGATCAACACGGTGAAACTCCGTCTCTACTAAAAATACAAAATTAGCTGGGTGTGGTGGCACATGCCTGTAATCCCACCTACTCAGGAGGCTGAGGCAGGAGAATGGCTTGAATGTGGGAGGCAGAGGTTGCAGTGAGCCAAGATTGAACCACTGCACTCCAGCCTGGGCAACAAGAGTGAAACCCTGTCTCAAAAAAAAAAATTTTTTTTAATTAAAAAAAATTAACTGGTGGCAGATTTTTCTCCCAGCCCCTTAGTCATGTAAGTTACCAGATACAGCATGTCAAAAGCAAACCAAAAATCTGTTAGCGTAATTCGGCATCAGTCAGCATGCCCCAGTCCCCATCTGTGACCACAGCAGGTCCGGGATGCCTGGCCCAACAGCTGCACATGGTGTTCCGGGTCTCTAGGCTGGCCTGGTTTCCTCCAGAGCAGCTCTGGCTCCAGTTCCTGCCCCTGTGCGGACAGACTCGCTTCCTGTTCCACAGCACGCCCAGCTCGCAAGGATTCACACAGGAGGGGGCAAGGAGGGCCACACTTTTTAGCGGCGATTTCAACACCTTCAACAGAGCCAAGGCTTCAAGGGGAGCAAAACCAAACAGCTAAGATGTAAAAGTGGAAAGGGGTACAGGTGCAAGTCCCCAGGCCCCAGGCTGGCTGTCCCCACCCTCCTTTCCTGGCACACACTGCCAGGGCTCGCTGTGGTGGGTCCCTCTGAGGCCACCCGTTAAAACTCAAGGCCAGACGCTTCAAAGTGGCTCCATGGTGGGAATGACCAGAATCCAAAGAAGGAAGAGACGAGTCTCATCTTTGGGGAGCCGCCCGGAGCGGGTACGAAACGGTTCTGCACAGAGCAGCCTTCTCACCCTCCCCTGGGCAAAGCACACACGTGTCCTCCGCTTCCCGGCACGCAGCCCGCACCGGCCCACTCAGACCCGCTTCGCCACATTCCCTGCCCCTCGGCGCCCGTCAGGGTCTCCCCTCCGCTCCTGCCCAGCCCAACGCTGACCCTCCATTGCCTTCGGATGCTGCCGTGAGGTTCCCGCCCACGCTGGGGGCAGCGCCCTGTCCCCGAGCGGACGTCTCTCCACGCACCTCCACCACCCTCGCACAGGCGGAGCCACCGGGATCCCAGCCAGAGGCCTGCGAGCTTCCGCCACGCGAAACGCCACAGGCGCACGGCAGGACCCCGCCCCGCGCCCACCTCGGGACCGCTCTGCTGGGCGCACGACGCGCGCTCCTTTCCCCACCCCACGGCCCGCCCCAGCGTGGCGCACCCCCCGACCCCCCGGGAGACCCTGGCGCCCCTCGGTGAGACACGGCGAGCCTTCCCGACCTGCGCCCTCCTCACCTGGTTGGCAAATCCCCGGAGATGAGCCATGGCCGCGCCGCCCCAGACGCTCCGCCGGCAGCCCCAGGAGGCGTCGGGATCCCGCCAGGAGGCGCGGAGCCGTCTCCTTCGCCCCTGCCGCGTCAGTCCACTGCGAGGGACAGCAGGAGCGCTCGGTGCCCGTTTCAGTCATCTGAGAACGAGCTCCGGGGCGGCGGGCTGCAGAGGGGGGCCCCGGGAGACCCCCAGGCCGCCGCCCCGCCACGCCCGGGCCTAAGGCCCAGGCGCCCCGGGGCTCGCCGCCCCTCCCATCCCCGCCCCCACGTCCTCCGAGGCTGCTTCCTCCCGTTGCCCCCGCCCCGGTGTCCCCCCGCCACCGAGCCCCGCCCCGGTCCCCTCCCTCCGCCCCCTCCCCACTCGCCGCAGGCTCCCAGCCCGGCAGCGAGCCCACCTCCGAGGGGCTCCATCCCGGACTCCCCCGGCCCGCTCTGCAGTGCCCGCGAAGGCTCCCACCCGCAGCCTCCGTTCGCCCGCGGACGCCGGGCCTCCCAGCCCGCGAAGCAACGGTGGTGGCGGCGGCGACCGGAGAAAGCTCAGAGGAGGCGACGACGAGGGCGGTGCTTAGCGTTGAGGCCCGCGCACGGCTCTCTGGGACTTGGAGTCCTACCGCCCACTCCAGCCCCGGAAGCCTGCTGGCACTGGACTACAAGTCCCGGCAGGCCGCGCGGTGGGGCGGGGATCGCATGCGCGCAGCGAGGCTCTCTGGGAGCCCGAGTCCAGCTCCCGAAAGGCTCGGACTGCATCTCCCGGCTGGCTGCGCGGCGGGTCGGACGGGCCACGTGGTCGTTGTCGCGTCGCGCCCTACCTGCCTCGCCCTCGCGGGCCTCCCGCGTTTGCGAGCGCCGGTTGGGCGTCGTCTCCGACGTGACGGCGGCCGGGCGGCTTCTCCGTTGGGCTCTGCCGTGCGCAGCCCTGGTCCGAGCCCGCCAGCTGAGGCCTGGCGCCCTCCCCGCCTAGCCCTGAGGATTCACCGCAGCCGCCCAGGCTCTCAGCTTTGTCCTCGTGGGCAGAGATGCCCCAGCGCTGGCCACACCGCGAAGCACCTGTTTGCACTGAGACCCCGCCTAGGATCCCGCGCACAAGCCAGGGCGCACCAGGCCTTGGAGAAGCTACTGGCACAGCCCATCCTTGGGGCGAGTTGCTTCGCTTCTCCTGCCTCAGTTTCCTTACCTGCAAAGGGGTGATCATAGGACATCCTTGGTCACCCCGTTGTGACCTCTCCACCTGGGCTAGAGCGCCGGACGCGCCCAGGACAGTGACTGCTGCTAGAAACCATCATGGCACTGGGGTCACCTCCCCAAGGTCAGGGAGGGACTTGCAGAGCCCAAAGCTACCTGGTGCGTCCCCCTTCCCCGTGGGCCGCCAGTTCATAGTGCTCCACCCCTGCCCCGAGTGCATTCCCCTAGCGCACCGCAGGGGTCCCCACCTGTCCAGTGAGGAAGATTTGTCTCTCCTCCACTCTGTGTCCATGATGGCTCCGCACAGGTGACTATCCCGGCCTCCCCCACCCTTCCTTCCTCAAGAAGGTTCTGGCGTTTCTCTGCTCCCCGGTGAATGTTTTCTCATTGTGCATTGCCGAGTCCTTTAAGAAGCTAAGCTTCTTCCAGGTGAGGTGCCACGCGTCAGTAATCCCAGCACTTTGGGAGGCTGAGGCTGGTGAATCACTTGAGGTCAGGAGTTTGGGACCAGCCTGCCCAACAGGTGAAACCACGTCTCTACTCAAAATACAAATTTTAGCCAGGTGTGGTGGCGTGCTTCTGTAATCCCAGCTACTTGGGAGGCTAAGGCAGAAGAATTGCTTGAACCTGGGGGGCAGAGGTTGCAGTGAGCTGAGCTTGTGCAACTGCACTCCTGCCTGGGCTACAGAGTGAGACTCAGTCTCAAAAAAAAAAAAAGAAAGAAAGAAAGAAAAGGTTTATAAACCCAGCACGTTGGGAGGTCGAGGTGGGAGAATCACCTGAGCCCAGGAGTAAGTTTAGTTGGAAGATAAAGTGAAGGAACTCAGAGAATAAGCAAGAAAAGAGAAGCTTAGAAGTTCAAGTCCGGTACCAAACTGACAGGAATGCCAGAGAGGAAGAAAGTACCAAAGAAAAAAAAATTTTTTTGAGACAGTCTCATTCTGTCGCCCAGGCAGGAGTGCAATGGTGTGATCTCGGCTCACTGCAGCCTCCGCCTTCTGGGTTCAAGCGATTCTCCTTCCTCAGTAGCTCCTCCAAAGTAGCTGGGACTACAGGCACGCACCACCACATCCAGTTATTTTTTTGTATTTTTAGTAGAGATGGAATTTCACCATGTTGGCCAGGACGATGTTGATTTCTTAACCTCATGATCCGCCCACATCGACCTCAGCCTCCCAAAGTGCTGGCATTACAGATGTGAGCCACCACACCCGGCCAAGAAATCGTACATTTTCCAGTCTTGAAGGATTTTGACCTCTGAGCGCCCCACAGGGTGAATAGCAAAGGATCTACACCAAGACACATTGGTATAAAATACCAGGAGAGCAAGGATCAGCAGAAGACCCTAAAAGTTTCCAAAGAGGAAAATACAGAATTCCTTCAAGAGATGAAGAATCAGAGGGCATCACTTAGCAGCAGCAGCATGGGATGCCAGAAGGCAGTGAAGAAATACATTCAAAATTTAGAGGTGAAACAATTGTCAACACAGAATTGGTTATCAAGTCTAAGGATGTAATAAAGACATTTTCTGATTTGCAGTACTTGGGAAGGCAAAACGTTTACAAGCAAACACATCAGCTGTCTGTTGCTGCATGACAACTCCAAAACTCAGTGGCTAAGAATAATTTGTTTTACTCATGAATCTGCAGTTTGGACAGGGTCTTGCTGGGGCACCTCATTTCTGCTTCACCTGGTGCCAGCTGGGGCGTCCTGACTGGAGCTGGAGGAGCCAGGGTGGAGAAAGCTGGTTTCTGTGGCCACACGGTCTGTACTGGTTGAAGGCTGGAGCCCGTCCAGGACTGTGAGCCAGGGGCCTCCGTTCTCACTGGCTTCTGGGGCTTTCTCACAGCGTGGCAGGCAGGAGAGGGGACGAGGACGGTGCCTTAGTCTGCTCAGGCTGCTGTAACAAAACACCAGCCTTGTGGCTTTGACCGTAGACATTCATTTCTGACAGTTTTGGAGGCCAGGAAGTCTGACATTAAGACGCTGGCTGATTCAGTTCCTGGTGAGGCCCTGTTCCTGGCTTGCAAATGGCTGTCTTCTGTGTGACCTGACCTGGAGACAGAGAGCTCTCTCTGGTGTTTCTTCATGAGAGGCTGATCCTGTTGGATCAGGGATCCACCCTTATGACTTCATTTAACTTGCATTAACTCCTTGTAAGCTTTATCCCCGAGGACTTCAGCATATGAATTTCGGAGTAGGAGATTCCAAAGGCTGCGCGTGCGTCGCTTCTTAACGACCTGGCAGTTGGTTAGCATCACCTCCGCGGCAGTCACAGCCCACCCAGAGTTAAGGGGGGAAAGCATCGAACTCACACTGTGAGACAAGCATAGAGGAGGGAGGTGATGTCGAGGCTGTCTCCGGAAAATACAAAGATGAGGGAATTATCGCTATCGCAGGCTCAGCAGCCGTGTCTTAGGCTTAATAATGTCATTCCCAGATGTTGATTTTCAATGTTTCCAATTATTCTACAGCTAGAATGTGAAATTTTCCATTTTAACCATGTAGAAGTAAGGCGGAGGCTAGAGAAATGGCATCTGGAAGTAGGAGAGGAGAAAGGGCGGCTGCCCTGAAGTCTTAATTCAGAAAGCGTCAATCAAGTTTAGTTTTAAACCACTGAGTGCAAGGACAGCAATGTGGACTACCGCCTGCTCACAAAGGTTTTTGGTTGTTTGTTTTTGAGACGCATTTTCACTCCTGTCGCACAGGCTGGAGTGCAACGGTGCGACCTCAGCTCACTGCAACCTCCACCTCCCAGGTTCAAGTGATTCTCCTGCCTCAGCCTCATGAGTAGCTGGAATTACAGGTGTTCATCACCACACCCAGCTAATTTTTGTATTTTTAGTATAGACAGGGTTTTGCCATGATAGCCAGCCTGGTCTTGAACTCCTGACCTCAGGTGATCTACCCGGCCTTGTCCTCCCAAAGTGTAGGGATCACAGGCATGAGCCACCGTGCGTGGCAAAGCTAAGGTTTCTGTGGTGTGAGAATATAGAGCATAGGACACTTTGGTGGGTAAAGAATGTTTTAAAACTCTTAAGTCTACAGTACGTTTACGAATATACTGTATAATAATTAAGAGTGAGTACAGCAGGGCACAGTGGCTCACGCCCGTAATCCCAACACTTTGGGAGGTGGAGGCAGGCAGATCGTTTGAGGTCAGGAGTTTGAAACCAGCCTGACTAACACAGTGAAACCCGTCTCTTTTTATTTTTTTTTATAACCCTCCCCCCAGGAAACCCCTTCTCTACTAAAAATATGAAAAATTAGCTGGGCATGGTGGCACACATCTGTAATCTCAGCTACTCAGGAGGCTGAGGCACAAGAATCGCTTGAACCCAGGAGGCGGAGGTTGCAGTGAGCCAAGATCCTGCCACTGCACTCCAGCCCTGGTGAAAGAGCAAGATTCTGTCTCAAAAAAAAAAAAAAAAGTGAGCACAACTTATAAACCATGACTTCTTTCTGCCCCAGCCATATTTTGTGATTTGTCACAGTATTTGAAAATGGACTGAAACTTCCCAGAAGAGACACAGATCACAGTGCCATCCATGTACCAGCAGCATAAATAAAAACAAATCCACATCTAAACTCAACATGGTGTAGCCATCCAATATCAAGGCTAAAGAGACAATATTTTTTAACCAGAGAGGAATATAGACTATGAAAGAACAACAAAGTGATGGCAGAGACTTCATCAGGAACTACAGAGCAAGAAAACAATGCAGTAATATCTTTTAAATACCAAGAGGAAATAACATAGAATTTTACAGCTTTCTAAACTATCACTTCAGAGTAAAGGCAAGGCCACGCAAAGTGGCTCATGCCTGTATTCCTAGCACTTTGGGAGGCTGAGGTGGGCGGGTGCCTTGAACTCAGGAGTTTGCTATCAGCCTGGGCAGCATGGCAACACCCCATCTCCACAAAAAAATGCAAAAATGAGCCAGGTGTGGTGATGCATGGAAGGCAGAGCTGGGAGGATCACCTGAGCCAGGGAGGTCAAAAGGCAGTAAGTGGAGATTGTGCCCCTGCACTCCAGCCTGGGCAACAGAGTGGGACCCTGGCTCAACAGAACAAGAGAGAAAAAAGAGAAACGTCCATTTACAATAGCACCAAAAAGAATAAAATGCTTCTTACGGATACATTTAACAAACACTTGTGAAACTTACAAATTGAAAACTGCAAAATGGCCAGGCGCAGGGGTTCACACATGTAATCCCAGCACTTTGGGAGGCCGAAGCCGGCAGATCACCTGCTGTCAGGAGTTTGAGACCAGCCTGACCAGTATGTTGAAACCCTGTCTCCACTAAAAATGCAAAAATTAGCAGAGCATGGTGGTGCGTGCCTGTAGTCCCAGCTACTCTGGAGACTGAGACAGGAGAATTGCCTGAACCCAGGAGGCAGAGGCTGCAGTGAGCCGAGATCGCACCCCTGCCCTCCAGCCTGGGTGACCAGAGTGAGACTCCATCTCAAAACGCAAGCATAGGTTAATCAAATTCATTATCAGAAATGGACTTCTGATCTTTGTTTGTTTGTTTGTTTGTGTTTGATTGTTTGTTTTAGACAAGAGTTTTGCTCCTGTTGCCCAAGCTGGAGTGCAATCGTGTGATCTTGGCTTGTGGCAACTTCCACCTCCCAGGTTCAAGTGATTCTCATGCCTTAGCCTCCCGAGTAGCTGGGATTACGGGCATGCCCAGCCATGCCCAGCTAATTTTTGTATTTTTAGTAGAGATGGGGTTTCTCATGTTAGTCAGACTGGTCTCGAACTCTCGACATCAGGTGATCCACCTGCCTTAGCCTCCCAAAGTGCTGGGATTATAGGAGTGAGCCACTGGGCCAGGCCATGATCAACTGATTTTTTTGTTTTTTTTTTGAGACGGAGTTTCGCTCTCGTTACCCAGGCTGGAGTGCAATGGTGTGATCACGGCTCACCGCAACCTCCGCCTCCTGGGTTCAGGCAATTCTCCTGCCTCAGTCTCCCGAGTAGCTGGGATTACAGGCACGTGCCACCGACGCCCAGCTAATTTTTGTATTTTTAGTAGAGACGGGGTTTCACCATGTTGACCAGGATGGTCTCAATCTCTTGACCTTGTGATCCACCCGCCTCGGCCTCCCAAAGTGCTGGGATTACAGGCGTGAGCCACCGCGCCCGGCTCAATTGATTTTTTAAAAGTATGCCAAGCCAATTCAGTTGGAAAATAATTATTTTAATATTTAGTTTTAGCTCCGTCCCAGCTAGTAAACTAAGGGAAAGAGTAATTTTTTCAACAAATGATGCTGGGAGCTCCCAGATACTTGAACCTGTGCAAGCTCCTGGAGGGCAGAATGCTCGGGGGGGGGCAGGTAAGCTCGGTGCCCACACCCCCAACACACTGAAACCTCCGCCTCCCGGGTTCACACATACACACCCAACACACACTCCCAACACACACCCCAGCATACACACATGCTCACCCAACACACACTCCCAACACACACCCCAGCATACACACAAACCCAACACACACATGCACACCCAACACACATCCTAGCACCCACCCAGGACACACAAACCCAACACACACATGCACACCAACACATGCCCCAACACACACCCAACATACATACACACCCAACACACACCCCAACACACACATACACACCCAACACACAACACAGACACATATACACCCAACACACTCCAACACACAAACCCAATACACACACCCAACACACACAGACACACCCAATACACACTCCCAACATACACACTCTAATGCACCCACACACCCAACACATATACACCCCAACATACACATACCATACATCCCCAACACACCACACACACCCAACACACACATATACACCCAATACACACAGGCTCCCAACACACATATACTCAACACACCCCAACATACACACATACACACCCAACACACATCCAACACACCCACACCCAACACACACACCGAACACACACACACACCCAACACACACACATACCCAATACACACACATACCCAACACACACAAATGCCTAACACACACAAATACAAACCCAACACAACACACACACCCAACACATGCATACACCCCAGCATATACACCCAACCAACACAGGCATACACATCACACACACACCACACACCCCCATACACAGACCCCCAACACACCCCAACACACACATACCACCAAGACACACATATACAACACACACACAACACACATATACACACAACGCACACACCCAACATACACAACAACCAACACACCAACACATACAACACACACATGTACACACACAACATACACACCACACATACCCAACTCACACACACCACACACGCCCAACATACACACACCCCAATACACACACAAAACACACAATACACACCCCAGCACACATAACACACATCCACATACCAACACACACCCCAACACATACATACATACCCAACACACACCAATACACACCCCAACACACACTCCCAACACACACCCCAACACACACACACATATACACAACACATACACACACCCCAACACACACACACAAACCCCAACACACCCAACATACACACACACCACACCCACCCAACACACACAAACACAACTGGATATCCACATGCAAAAGAATAAAGTTAGGCTGGCACTGTGGCTCACACCTGTTATCCCAGCACTTTGGGAGGCTGAGGCATGCGGATCACCTGAGGTTGGGAGTTTGAGACCAGCCTGACGAACATGGAGAAACCCCCTCTCTACTAAAATACAAAATTAGCTGGGCATGGTGGTGCATGGCGGTAATTCCAGCTACTCAGGAGGCTGAAGCAGGAGAATCACTTGAACGTGGGAGGGGAAGGTTGTGGTGAGCCAAGATTGTGCCACTGCACTCCAGCCTGGGCAACACAAGCAAAACTCCATCTCAAAAAAACAAATAAATAAAGCTAGACCCAATCAACTAAAAACAAATCATATTTTTGAATGTAAGAGCTAAAACTATAAAACGGCTTATTAGATATGACACCAAATGCATAAGAGACATTTAAAAATAGATAAAACCCAATTTACCAAATTGAAAACTTGTATGCTTCAAAGGACACCCTGAAGAAAGTGAAAAGGCAACCTCGAAAATGGGAGAAAATATCTGCAAATCACATATCTGATAAGGGACTTGTATCCAAGATACGTAAAAAAAGTTCTTACAATGCAGTAATAAAATTATAAATAGTCCAATTTAAGAATGGGCAGGGCTGGGCATGGCGGATCACACCTCTAATCCCAGCACTTTGGGAAGCTGAGGTGGGACGATAGCTTGAGCCCAGGAGTTTGAGACCACCCTGAGCAACAGAGCAAGATCTTGTGTCTACACGTAATTAAGAAAATTAGCCAGGCGTGGTCGTACACGCCTGTGGTCCCAGTTCCTCAGGAGGCTGAGGTGAGAGGATCACTTGAGCCTGGGCGGTAAAGGCAGCAGTGAGCCATGGTTGTGCTGTACACCCCAGCCCTGAATGGCAGAGCAAGACCTTGTCTCAGAAAACAAACAAAAATTGCAGGGGATATATTAGTATTTATATTCAAACGTTGTTGTTTACCTGAAATTAAAATTTCACTGGGTGTTCTGAATTTTATCTAGCACCCTAAAGGAACAATTACCCCTCAGCTGAAAACAACTCTGTTCCTGCCTAACAGATCTTAGATCAAGACCTGAAAAGATCCAACCATTTCCAAGCAACTTAATTGCATCAAAGAACAAAGCCCAGGAATATTAGAGGAATATAAAATTATCCAGCACCCAACCACGTACATTACATGACAATGATAATCTCAGGGAAAGTCACCAGGCATGCAAACAGCAGGAAAAAATTAGCCTTAAGGAGGAGAAAAATCAACCAACCAAAAACAACTCATCGCTAACAAATGTTAGAATTTACAGACAAGTATATTAAAAGTTATTATAACTGTATTTTACACGTGAGAAAAGTGAAGTAGAAACATGGATCATATAAAAAGGCCAGAAACTAATTTTCCAGAGTTGAAACTAAGGTGTGTGATATGAAAGCTACACAGAAGGGATTCACAGGAGACACGGCTGCGGAGGAAGAGCCTGGTGGGTGTGGCTCGCACCTGTAATCTCAGCACTCTGGGAGGCAGAGGTGGGAGGAGCACTTGAGGCCAGGAGTTTGAGGCCAACCTGGGCAACACAGTGAGACCCGATCTTAATAAAAAAAAATAAATAAAAAGCTTAGTGAACTTGAAAACATAGTGATAGAAATATGCAAAATGAAATGGAAAGAATTTCGATGAGTGAAGAGTGCCAGTGAGCCATGGAGCGATCTGGGACGTGTTCACATGGAGTGAGTGAAAAAACGCAGGTAGCTGCACTTATTCAGGATGTGAACCCTCCTGGGGAAAAGCAGCACGTCTGAGCCTCTGGCAGAAGGGAGGCTCCAGCCACAGCTGCCTGGACTCTAGCGGACAGGTGACTTACTCGTTTCCCCAGCAGAACAGAGCTAAAATCCAAGTTCCAGGCTGCTGGCTCCTCCTCCACCATGCTCACTTATCCACGTGAGGACAATGTGTGGGGTAGAGTCAGGCAGAACCGCTGTGTGGCCTCGGGCAAGTTACTTAACCTTTTTGAATTAAAATTTCTTTATTTCTACATAGGAGCCACAAACCCTTTTGGGAGTTGTTGTTTATTTGGAGTATGTGGGGGCAATAATTCAATGAAAACAATAAAGAAAACTTCTTGCTGAAGAAGGGCCCTGGCAGTCATGGTGGCTCACACCTGTAATCCTGGCTACTTAGGAGGCTGACGTGGAAGGACTGCTTGAGGCCAAGGGTTAAACACTAGCCCTGGGTGACATAACAAGACCCAGTCTCTATGAAACATTTTAGGAGGATCCAAGATGGCCAATTAGGAGCAGCTCAGGATTGCAGCTCCCAGTGAAAGCGCAGAGGGTGAGTGGACGCCGCATTTCCAGATGAATTTTTATTGCCCACAGACCAGGAGATTCCCAGGTGGAGGAGCCTCACAGGTTGCCAGCGCAGCTGGTTTGGCTGGCGCAGCTGCTTTGCCAGTGCCCTAGGGTGGCAGTTCTCCGTACAAAATACATGGGTCCAGGCACCATTTTAGCTGAGGATTGGAGCTCCGGGAAGACAGAGTCACCCATTCATCTGATAGAAAAGGGGACTGAAACAGAAAGCCAGACCAGGAGATTCCCAGGCAAAAAAACACCGCGAATCTCAGTGCCACTGTTTCAGCCAGCTCAGCGGGTCATTGCATGGGAAATCACACAGATCATGGTGTCTTTTCAACAGGCGACTAGAACACTTGGGAGAGAGTTGACCGTTCAACTAAAAGAAAAGGCTCTGAGGCAGGGAGCCAGGTGATCAGGATCGGCTGGTCCCAACCCCCCAAAAAACAGCAATTGGAAACACTCTGGGTTGAGAGTTTCACAGCAAGCACAGCTGAACCCGAGAAGGTCCAGCTCTGTGGGGAAGGGGCGTCCGCCATTACCGAGGCACTCCACCACTATGGAGGTAGTCGACCATTGCTGAGGCAGCCCGCCATTGCTGAGGGAACCTGCCATTACAGAGAGACTCCGCCATTACAGAGGTGGGCCAGCTTTGCCGAGGCAGTTCTAACTATACCCATATAAACAGGACTGCAAGGAAGTTCACACGGCAGCTGGGCGGGGCCTACAGTAGCTCAGCAAAGCCTCTGCAGGCAGATAGTGACTAGGCTGCCTCATTGCTGGGCAGGGCAGCCCTGTAAAAAAGGCAGCAGCACAATGGAAACTAATAAATAAATCCATAACTCCCCAGGACAGAACACCTGGGAAAAAAAGGGGTTTATGAGTTCTGCTGTAGCAGACTTAAACATACCTGCCTAGCAGCTCTGAACGAA